AAGCTAGCGGAGAGTATTTCTGTTGACGTTTTCTCGTAGACAGTATAAACGTTTACATTTGTAATTACTAATTTCACATGAACTGAAGTCATTTACGAATGGTCAATGTCACCGTCGTGCCCAGGCGTCCTCGTTTGTTAAACATATGAGCGTCCAGGGAGGGTCTTAATGGAGTTTCGCTGATAACCGAGACTTGGCCAAAGTGTTTACTGTCAGCCTAGAAAATCATGTTTTTCAACTGATAGCTGAGATCTGAGATCTGCAAAATTTACTGATGGCTGAGAAGTGGGCTGAAAATTAAGCTAATATCTTGAGTTTTAATTCACCCATCAGGATCCTATTTGGGATTCCTTCTCTCGTTTTCGTGGACTGCCGTAAACGAAGACAACAACTATGTCTCTACATACATTGTACATTTACAGACGAAAACGTTTGCATGTTTCAATACAAACAGTAAATTTGTATAATACAATATTTTGAAATACAATGTAATAAAGTATTACTATTTTTCTACTGTTTGACAGTTTATTTTATTTCTAGCTTTTCGCACCAGTCCCTTACTTAGCGAGTATAAAGAAGAGCTCTGCATCTAGTCTCAGCCCAGTTCACGTAAGAATCCTTCGTTTCGTAACCTCGCGTGTTGTATCCTATGCCGGATAATAAAGTTCTCGTCCATGCTGCTTGAACCGTTCCTGACTCCTTCAACTGAACTAACCGCGTGCAGGAGATCCAATACATGGAGACCCCAACTAGTATAACTGAACTTTTTCTTGCGGTTTGTCGCTTTGAGTCGTTTGCAAGCTTGTTTTTGCCTACGTTTTGTCCTTGTTTCGTTGCCTGGGTTTTTTCCCGTGATTTTCCCTTCGCTACGCACTTGAAGTAGTTGCATGCTTTTACTGTGAATTTGCAGAACCAGCCCCGGCTGTTTATCATTTAATGCTCGGTTTGCCTCACAAACGCCGGGTTTGTCTATTGCTTATCCTTCGGCTTCCTTCGAGTTTTCACGCTTGTGTTCTTGGTTTGAAATATTCAGTCATGTTTTTGTTATGCGTGCTTCACTTACAAACCTCGAGTTTGTGCAGTGCCTTTCTCTCGGCTCCCTTGTTCTTGGTTCGTAATATTCAGTAAAGTTTTTGTTATGCGTGCTTTGCCTCACAAACATCGGGTTTGTGCAGTGCTCTTCCCTCGGTTTGTACTATATAAACAATAAGCTCCATTTGGCGTGAAAACATGCCCGGATATTTGTCCGCCTACATTATCTGTTCCGAGCTTTGAGGAACAGATAATGTTCAAGGACAAAAATCCTAGCATATTTTTGCGCCAAATGGAGGCTATTGTGTTATTAACTTTCAAATATTTTTCGAAACGCGCGCCCTTTTGAAAACTGGGGAATATCACTCGGATATTCCCCAGTTTTAGCCGCGTTTAGATCAGGCGTGCGCGATTATTCGCCAATTCGCCAAAGGCGAAGTAAACATTGGTGAATATTCACCAATGTTAACCGAGCCTGAGGCGAATAATTGTTTTAGTATAATTTTGAGAGGTGAATATCAGGGACTACAAAATAACGGACTAAAACATAAAAACAGACGTAATTGTCCATGTGCATACACGTATGGAGCCGTAGTTTTAATAATATGCTTACATGTACATCGATTGTCAACCAATTTACTCATCGAGTTCGGCAGTAAAACAAACGAGCTAAGCACTACGAAAAATAAATTCATTCGGTACCTTTGTTTTATCGTTGTTGACTTCATTCACAGTTGTCATTATCGCCTAAAAAATGGGTAGCTTTAGTTTGAAGAAAAATAAATTTCGGTCAATCGATCTGACCTGCTGGCGATCGACGCAACCACTGCGTTTACGATTCTTAAAAACCTTGAATACGAGTTCTTGAAAAGATTTTTGGTCCAAGGTGAAAATTCTCCATCCTTTCAAATATCCTAGACTTGGAGTGATGTCTTCCGAATAAAGGAAAATTTCGTTTAGCAACTGTTCTGTTTACTTGCCGAGATTGNTCTTGACAGCAGGTATATCCTTTCAAATATCCTGGACTTTGAGTGATGTCTTTCGAATAAATGAAAACTTCATTCAGCAACTGTCCGCCATGTTTACTTGCCGAGATGGCAAAGATGGCGGGCTTAGGAACCAAGCTCTAGCGGGGTGAATATAGCGTCATATGACGATCTTTTCGACCAGTCAGAATGTCCAATTCTTATATTCACCTCTGGAAATTATACTAATCAGTAATATGTCCCCCTTGTTTTGCTTTCAGATCTCACACTGTAAATCTGTAAAGCAAAAAATTGCTTATGTTTCAGATTAAAGTGACAATTGTTTGAAATAATGTGTCATTGCCTTCATTGCCTTCTGCCTACCTTTTTTTCTTTTTTGAAAACGCGAAAATCTGGGTCGGTCGGACGACGCTAAATAGAGAAAAAAAAAGGGGATGGCCTAACCTGAAAGGGTGTCTAATGCCCTAATGGGATAACTGACGTTCAGGCTGCCATCTTTTGGGTGGGTTTTCGCTTTTTTGCTCCTCCTTTAGCATGTGTCTTTATCCCTAGTATTTTATCCTGTTTTACCACTCAACGGTGGCAGCTTTTAGATATTTTATTCGCGACAGTCCCTGAATAAGAGATGGAGAAATGCTCCGCGCTCGGAAGTTGAACATTTAATATGGCGCGAAACAATTGCCAATACCAAAACTAAATCCAGTTATCGTTTTGTCGTCATAAAGGGTAATGGATAGTTAGAAATAAGCCGTGGCAATCACCTAAAGGTTCCGTGACGTGACCGTAACGTATTCGTGACGGTTAAGAATGACACGATTGTCCGTGACCAACCTAGCGCCCAGGCTCTCTCTCCTTTGTCTCTTTGGGGACAGAGGAGGGAGAGCCTGGGAACGAGTTTGGTCCGTGACGATGGTCACGGCTTCTTGACCGTCATGGGTTCACCGCTAAGACCAAGGGAAAATTCCCACTGATAAGGTTTGAAAATCACACCGAGACATGCATCTGTACTTTTGGTTTGAAGAGGATAGAGAAAATTTTCAACATGGAGGTAAGTCGTTCAAAAATTTGTCAAACTCTGCCGGTGGTTGTCGAATAGTTGTTCAGCGTTTTTCAACTGTTTAATTTTGGGGTATTTATTCGGCCAGATCTTGTGTGTGCTTGTCGTCATAAAGCCTCGTGCTTCTTACAAGTCTAGATTTCTTTTATTTTTTGAGTACTTTTTAAGGCACCGGTCTGGGCATTTTGCCTTCAGTGAAGTCTTACATTAGAAGTTCTGATCAATGCATGGAAATTCTGTCCGTGTGTCAAACAGTTACTTGATTGACCTCCGCGAAACACGACTCCCGTCAATTCTCGTCTCGCTTTGACTAAACCGAAACGGGAGGTTGCTGGTTGTAAAATTTTTATAAAAATTCATTAATACTGAAATGAGAGTCAACTACAAGATTCGAAATCTGATAAAGTAAACAAATTTCTCTTCTTTCGTCAGCGAGAAAAGTTTATGCGCGTTTCACAACATTTGGGTTCCTTTCAGTTACGCTGACTCCCGGGTAGACCGTAACATCTTCACTTTCACTTTTCTAACAAGGTATTGAACCCATCTGAAGCACAAAAGAAAACAATGGGATATAGAATTTCAACCATGTTCGGTTTGTTAGCACATATTTTGTCTTTCCGAATTAACAAATTCGAACCGATTGTACCTGACCTCCGTTGTTACGGAACTGAAAGTTAGCGTGAGGGAATTATTTTGAGGAGTTTGTCTGTTGCGTGACACAGCATTAATTTTACAACAATCATTAATTTAAGTAAGCTTATTTAGGTGGAGCAATTGAACTGTTTTGATTGTAACTACTGATAAAGTAATGAGTTGCAACAAAAACTAAATTTCGGCCTAAGTGATTCAAAATCGGCGCATTTTTATGACAAAAATAAGTGATATTTAGAGAGTCTTTTTGTTGGTGATATTTAGTAGATTTTTTGAGACTTTCCGGAAGGCGATTTTAAGTGATATTTGTGGAAAGGCCTCATTTTGTTCCTGTATTAAATCCATTTTGAAATCACTGGTTATCCTTGCACTCTGATTGGCTCTCAGTGGTGCGATTTACTCACGAATCGCATTATTTTTTTGCTCTAAATCGCATCTTTTTTCTCAGCCAATGAGAATGGGATAGCAAAACAAAACAACCAATCAGATTTCAAGGTTAGTTTAAAGTAATCAATAAAATTTCAGGAAAATGAAAAGTAAAAAGCAATTGTGTGGGGAATTTTGCAGCTACCATTGCCAAAAGTTTGTTGTTGTTTTCTTTCCCCCCAAAATTGACGAATTTAATTAGTTACAGTTTCTGAATGACGATTACGAGCTCCTTCAGGTTCAGGACCTACTTAAATGGAAGTTTTCGACTTTCAGTGTTCATTTTGACGAATATTTTGGCGATTTTTCTTCAACATCTGTTCATGATCCGTATGATACCGAGTCCAGTAAAACATAAACAAACGAAAACCACACAACAACAAATTCAGAGCCATCTCAAGTAGATGTTTCCAGGTTTCCGGTAGTTTCAAACGAAGCAACACAAGAGCTCAACTCTGTCGCTGTGAATAAAAATAGTCAAAATACGCCCTGCTCCACAAAACAGTGAATGAACGAAAGTCTTGNCACCACCCCATTTATCTTAACACGGATACAGCTACATTTTGGCACTGCTAATGAAAATTAATTTGCTTCCGAAAGACTTTTGTTTTCATGAACCACCTCAAAAATATCTCAATTCATCTTCGGGAAATTCAATTGCATGCAAAAAGTAATTCAATTTACGTTCATGGATCACAAACCTGCAATCTCATTCTTTATGAACTCTCAAATAGTTGTCAATAGCAGCAGCAAAATTAACAAGAAATTATCATTTCTAATTTAAGAGTAATTTCGTTGCATTTTAGGGGTTTTGTAGTGAATATTGACAGGAGCAACATTAAATTACTTTTGTTAAAAGCAAACGTTTCAGAGCGGAAAACAAGACGGCGTAGAAACCTGCAACGATACAAACGACAATATTAAACGCAAGAAATATTTCCAATGGCAGTCCTGACCTAGCAGCAAGTATTGAGATGTTTATTCCAGTCGTCTGTCCTTTATGATCCTTTCGTGGACCGGTTAACAGGGAGGTTTTGTCATAACCTTCATTCACTATTAACTTGCAGTTTTTTCTACACAACAGCATAAAAGACCAGCGAACTTAGGATTCACTTTGTTTTTCCATGTAGCTTGACGTTAAAGATAAAATTTCGCTAACCATTTGGCGGGAAATATTTCTAACAAATGATTTTTTGGAACTTTGCGAGACCAATTGCTCCGATTTGCTTGTAGATACCAAATTTAACTAACCTGGATATTGATAACAGTGTAAAAGACTATTTTAAAAATGTTTTTCTGTGGAAATAAACTGCCGCACTTTTGAAAAACGACTCGCTGAAATATTTGTCACCTCGTGAAAACCGTAGAATAAAAGCGAAAGACCTCAAATATATGTCAGTCGACTAATAAGGGGACAAATATTATCGCACGAAAATAAGAGTTTCTGAAATTTGTTTGAAGTATCATTGAGGCTCACCTAAAGTTTCCCGAAATTTCGGCCATTTTAGACCGCTCGAGAGGCCAAAATCATGATGTGGTGATATCTCGGAGAAAAACGAACGCCCACCTCGGCAAATGTCATGGATGTTAATCTCTTCGGATAGCTTTTATACTGTGAAAAGATGAAGGTAAACGGCCGACCTCGATCTTTTGGTCCTGCCCGGCTTCTCTGACAATGACACTTAATGCTGAGTGGTTGTTCTGTAATGAAACCGGGATAAGCTGCTACTTTACTTTGCAATGTACCTTACGGACGCCCACAATCAAATTTCTAATGTCGATGTCTGTCTCATTGTAGTAACTTTCAGTTTTTATGAGAGTTCTAGATCTATTTTGATGAAGGCACGTTTTGGTCAGTGAATTGGCGAAGGCAACATGCTTATGTTGCGCCGATTTACTTGCTGATGAAGCAAGGGTTCTCAAAATAAACTGAGGTATTGCAATTTCGCAGTATTAAAGCCATATCTTTCTTTGTGTCCATAGGAGGCTCTATAACTAGATAAACATTTCCATCGTGATGTCTGGTACAAAATAAGGAATTACATTCATTGGAAGACGAATGGAATTCTTCCAAAGGCGCTTGGCTATACAGCTGACTAAACACCCCAGGGGGGCTGGCACTTTCTTTGTTCCCAAACGCGTTGAAGAGGACAAGAAAGCAGCTGGTAGGCATAATATCAGTGTTGTGGAGACAAGAGCACTACCTGGCTTTTCAGCAGCTGAATGACTAGTAATGATGACCTTTTATGTTTTAATAGGTACAACCACAGTAGTTCCTCCAGAGATTCTTGCACGAGGACCTTTGGCTTTGGAAGCCTACAACAAGGCCCTTGCTGAAGGGAGGACCTGCGATAAAAGGGTGCCAATCATGTTGATTGGTCAGGACCGCTCAGGAAAGACTAGCCTAAAAAACTCACTTAGGGGAAAACCCTTCAACTCTGACGAAGACAGCACTGTAGGGATTAAGGTTGATCCTTCTCATTTCAAAGTTTCAACTGAAATTTGGAAAGCAGGGGAGAAGAACCAGGAGACAAATTCTGAGACATCTATCTCCTATGAACACCATGTAGCCCGATTGACCGTCGAGCATTTAAGGCAGAAAGAAGGCATTTCTAAGGAATGTGATCCAGAGCGCAAACAGGATTACTCATCAGAAGTGCTGAATATTGAAAGAAGCGAGGCTTCAGCTAGGAGGGACACAAAAGACTCAATTTCATTTTTTTCCGCTTCAGATGCACCTGATACAACTACTCGTGAACCTGATAAATTGTCTGGCGTTTCAAAGGACTCTCAATCTAGTGATACTTCGCATGTTCAGATATTCAGCGATCCAGAGCCCAGCGGTGACAGCATAACTGGTATACCAGACGATATAGCAACTTTGATTGAGGTGTTGCTGCGAGAAGTTGATAAGGTGGATGACGAAGAAGACATATACTCAGTGTTGTGGGATTTTGGTGGACAGTCAGTTTACTATGCAACACACCCACTCTTTCTCACTTCAAAAGCGATCTACCTTTTAGTTAATGACCTCAGCCGAAACCCACATGAAAGAGCCAAATCAGTTATGAAGCAAGGGATGTTCACGAAATTTGAGGACAGCTTTGATTTCAGAACCAATTTGGATTATCTCGAGTTCTGGATGTCGTCTGTTGCTTCACTAGCCAGTGAAGATGAATGTGCACAAAAATGTCCTAGGTCTGAATTGCTGCTGGAGAAACTTCCACCAGTTTTCCTAGTGTGCACTCATGCTGACAAACCGTATGATTGTGGTGATCCTAGTACACTTGCCAATATGGTATTTGGCTCTCTGCAGAGAAGGCCATACAAAACCCATTTGTATGGCGATGTGTTTGTTGTGGATAACACAAAGTCTGGCAACGAACCTGAGTGTTCCGAAGTCGTGCGCCTGCGTAAGGAAGTTCTTGACGTTGCCAAGGAACTACCACAGATCAAAGAAGCCATTCCAATCAAGTGGTTAAGGTATGAGAAGGCACTTCAGGTCATGAAAGAAGCTGGCCACCAATGGATCCCTCTTGACACTGCAAAACATATTGCGACCGAAGTATGTAATGTCGTTGACGATAAGCAATTCCATACACTGCTTAAATTTTTCCATGACAAGAGAATTTTGATTCACTTTGAAGACACTCCAGAACTAAACAGATTGGTGGTCTTGGACCATCAGTGGTTGATTGACGTGCTCAAGACGGTAATAACCATTAGGCCGTTTCACGGTAAAGAGAAGAAATTCATAGAACTATGGTGTAAGCTTGAGAAAGAAGGAATCCTGGATGAAAAACTTTTAGAACATGTCTGGGGACCTTTATTTGACAGCAAAGAAACCCCTGAAAGTCTCATTGCAATCATGGAGAAATTCAGCTTGCTTTGTCCTTTGCCTTCTTCTGATGAGTCATGTAGTAAGCAGTACCTGGTTCCATCAGTGCTGATGTCTCATCCACCCGATGGTATCGTGGAGCTGATTAAATCGGCACAAATACCTTCTCTTTTTCTTAAATTTGAATCTGATCATGTTCCGCCTGGCTTGTTTCCCCGACTGGTGCTGCAGGTCTTTCAATGGGCTAAAGACGAATGTATGAGACCAGTGGACCCTCAGTTGTACCACAATTTCGCTAGATTTTACACCTCTGAAGAAGAAAACTACTCTGTAGTCCTTCTGTGCCATTCATTTTCCATTGAAGTTGTTGTCCACAAAGGGAATTCCAGTCATGGATTGGTAGACAATCTGTCTGCAGATGCCAGCTATGACACGTGTCCTCGTGCAGTGCGTAGGCAGCTGGGATTGATACTGGAGTCCATGCGCAAGGAATTCTGTTGGCTAAAGAATATGAAATATGAAGTCAGTTTCATCTGTCCAGTCTGTTGTCAAGGAAGTGTAGCTACCTTCTGTCGCACTCATCGTACCAAAGGATGCGAGCAGGAGGAGTGCCTGCACTTCTGGTCTGAGTCTCAGTTATGCGATGGCAAGATCATCTTTTGCAGCAAGTCTGCTGTTGCACAGAATAACAGAATCGAAACCGAACAGTTTGCACCATGGTTGCCCCTAACAAATCAGGTGAATAATTTAAAAGTTTGATGTGAGTTCTGTAGAGTTATCGCAAAATGATATTTACAATATCGCAGTGTAAGAACTGTCACAGATATCAAGCCAAACAAAACACTTTGCTCAAATTTGAATCAATATAAAAATGAAGACTTAGCTAGTAGCGAATAGTCCGTTTTGTTTCCAGAGAAAAAAAAACGTAATCGTAAGACAAGGTTTGCATTATTTAACCGTATGGAAGCGAGAGTCAATGTGGAAAAAAGAATTTGTAGGGATGTGCGAATGTTAACGTGCGTGAATGTAATCGTAAACTGGCTGTGTATCACAGCCAATGTTGGGAAAGTGGTCTGAAGCTCAGTGATCTAATTGTGCAATAGAATATTGCGCAAGATAGAGAAATGGAAACTTAGGCCTTCACTTAGAAGTCTATGGAGCAGTATGAGTAATTCATTTAGAGCATATTATGTGAAAAGTAATGTATCCAGTGCGTATTGTATCAACTGCTTGCAGCTCCTTTGGAAAGAACGGTTGCACGTGACTTTCGGGTTTCCAAAGTATTATGTAAGCTGACATTTCGTGCATAAAGCGCAATCAAATCTTTTAGAGGTTGCTTATTTATTTGTGGGTTGGGGGAAGCGTGGTGGCCTAATTGTTAGTGAACTGGACTCCGGATGATGCGATCCGCATTCGAGCCCAAAGCCTGAGCCATAATGTTGTGCTCTTGGGCACGACACTTCTCTGACGGTGTCTCTCTCCACCCAGGAGTTTCAATGGGTAACGAATTGTTGGGGCAACCAGACTGAAACCTGGGAAGTGGCCTCCAAAAGAGCAGTAAGCTATCTAGGGGGAGTAGCAATGACTTCTGGTCTCCAATTGAGCTTACGGGGTATTTGTTATTTATTAAAATGAACTCCATGTCCTTAAACACACGCCAATACAATGGGAACTGAAGATGTTCTTCTTTGCCGTTTTTATTTTGTCTTATAGATTGCAGCTGAAGTACATGATGGGAGGAATTTGGTTTCTGCAGAAGGTAGCATAATTTGACTGTGTTCCTTTGCCTATTTATAATAATCTTAACTAGTTCTCGTGGTACTGGTAGTACATTGAGTTTTATGGTTCTGCACATTTTAAGGAGAAGTCTTAGTTGTCACCTAAAAAAAAAAATGGTATGGATAAACAGCGACAACAAATTCAAATACATGGCAGTCTCGTGGACAACCCGTCTCCCCCTAAAGCTCTTTGTACCGACTGTTTTAAAACTTTCGTAACCTTTCCTTTATCTTTAGTAACTAAAGAAATTGCCCTTCCTGGCGAGGTTCAAGACTCCCTTCTGTCACAGTCATGTGGCGCCAAAGAGATTGTACTAAAATTAAAAGAGAATATGCAGTTAGAGCAAGCCTCTCTGGAAGAGCCAGATTCTGAGACCAAGGCATTGATCCGTTGCTTAGCAAGGAAATCTAAAGATTCAAACAGGCTTGACGTGTTCCAACATTTGAGAGAGATTACACCAGCTGGAACTACTGGTGAGTTTGTCATTAGCGAGGTACGTCTTACTGAAAGGCATTTGCACTTATAGCCCACGTTCGATCTATCAAAATTCTGACTTTGCACCGAGGCTTTCTGTAATATTAGTATATCGAGCATTTTCTGTCTCTCTCTTTTACTGTCTCTCTCCATTAACCACAAAATTTAAACGTGTGACGTTTTTCGAACTTCTAGGGTGGAAAACCCTAAAAATACTTGCCAGCAGCAAATTGGAAGAGCCACGATAGTTTACAGGTCTCTGCATGGGTGGGCTCCAGACTATCTAAGCTAAAAATTTAAGAAGCGAGAAACCGCATATAACCTAAGGGACTCTGAGAATAAACTTAATGTTCCATTAGCGCGAACAAACTATTACAAAAATAGCTTTAGCTATAGTGGCGCCATTCTTTGGAACAGTTTTCCTTGTGATGTAAAGGAAGCAGAGTCCCTTGTGCAATTCAAACGTTTACTCAAAGAACTACTGCAAGGCACGGCATTCGTGGAAAGCAGCTTTTTATTCAATATTAATCATTATATTAGGTATAGATTAGTTTTATTATATATATATTTTTAAAAAAGCTCATGAGTTTTACCGTGCTTAAATAAAGATTATCTATCTATCTTTAATTGCTTTTTCTTCACTCGTGCATCTAAATTGTTCTACCAATAAGCGTATGCAAGACTTACAAGTATGCTACTGTAGGGCTAACTCTTCGTGAAAAAATGTTGTTAAAGGAGCTACGTCACGACCCGCGCATGTGCGAAATTTGGCTCCGTTCTCATTGAGATTCAAATGCATCCACCATCTCGAATTTATCGGAGTCGTTAAATTTTGCGCGAACTTAGCCGTTCTTGGTTAAAATTATTACGTCTTTTTGTCGCGTGTGTGGATTTCTTCTCGTCGATCTACTTATTTTATCGCAGAGGCAAAAT